GGGGGGGGGAAGAAGCAAAGGAAGGATTCCGCCTACCTCGATGCAGAGGAACTTAGAGCCGGCTGGCATCCAAAGGAGGGGTGCCTGGCTGGCCGGGGCAGGCACCGGCTGGGGTAGCTGCATGATCCCCCAGCTCCTTCCGCTGCTGCCACTGCTGTTTCTCCAGGAGGTGCGGGCACATAGGCAAACACGCGCACCCTCGCGCTCTCCCTCGCACACACGCGCATGCATGCATCCACACACACGCACACTCACACACATACAGAGCTGGCGGTGCTGCTGAATACATCACAGTGTCAGCCACTGGCAGGATTGGGGGAGGGGTGGGGGGGGGAAAACGTCTCCCAGCTTTGCCAAGGGAAGTGCAGCTGGCTGGTTGGAAGGAAAATTTCTCTCTTTCTCTCTCTCTCTCTCTCTGCCTGCCTCCCTTTCTCCCTCTCTCTCCGAGCATCCCTACCCTCCCTGCATAACCGGCCCTTTTGCCGATGATCAACAGACCCACCTCGGAGGTCGGTGGCATAAGAGAAAGCACCGCTTGGCATCCAGAGCAATAGAAAGCAGCCGGAGACGGATCCGGCCTTCCCGGTGAAAGGCATGGGCTCCGGACGCCTTCCTGCCTTGGCTTTGTACCTCTCTCCCTAACACAGAGCCCACCTCCCCAAATGCAAATGCTTCACTAAAGAAATCCACATTCGGAAGGCCAAATAAACAAAATACCCCCCCAAGCTGGCATGAGCCGCTGTTGCTAAAATAAAGGACTGGGAGAAAGAAGGGACATTAGCTTTGAGAAAAGACGACTAAGGGGGGATCTGAGAGCCCTTCAAAAATACTTGAAAGGTAGTCATCTAGAGGAGGAGCAGGATCCGTTGTCGATTGTCCCAGAGGGCAGGACACATCATCATGGGCTCCAAGCTACAGGAAGCCAGATTGAGGCTGAATGTCAGGAAAAACTCCTTAACTGTTAGAGCCGCACAACGATGGAACCTATGACTCTGGGAAATGGCAAGCGCTCGAACACTGGAGGCATTCCAGAGAAAACGGGACCACCCTCTGTCAGATCTGCTTTGGTTTGGATTCCTGCCTTGAGCAGGGGATCAGACTAGATGACCTCATAGGCCCCTTTCAGCTCCATTGTTCTACGATTGTATGATTACAGATCAAGACTGGAGATGACTTTGAAAGAAGAGGTGAGAAATACATGGCTTCCAAATTTCTACTAGTCATGGTGGGTATTTGGAACCTCCAGTATCAGAGGCATTCCACCTCTTGCTTTGGAACATGGGTGAGACAGTGCCGCAGCCATGTCATGCTTGTGGGGGGCACCTTTTTTGGCTTGTACGGAAAGCAGAACACTGGGCTACATAGGCCTTTCACCTGACTCAGGGCCCTCCATCAGCAGGTCATTTTAAAAAACAGACATTTTCGTGGGAGAGGCTGCCCGAGTCATCGGTTGCCTTTTCTCCCAGCTATTGGGTTCAGAAAATAAATACAGTGCAGAACTGTTTCCCCCACCTCTCAGATATTAGATATTCTATATCAAAAATAAAAGTTGGGTTTTGCCCGGTGAACTTGCAGATGTAAAAGAGATATATTGGCAAAAGCTAGCCTGCTTATCTTAGAAGCTTCAGCAGAAGACAGAATAGGAGCAGGTGCTCTCCTGCACATGCAGTGGCTTTTTAGATTCTGGGCATCTCCAGCAAACATTCCACCCCTGATCGGGTTGACCACGATTGAGGTACACACTGAAATGTATAGAGCCCCACCCCCCAGAAATGGCTTTTTGAGGAAATCTTTGAAATCCTAGCATGGAAACCCATTTTCTTTCCAGAATATTTTGCGATTTTCTTTTTCCATAATGTGCCAAAATGGTTTGCTACCGAACAGTTCAAATTACGAGGCTTGTAAGCAGAAAGGAAATCTCCACGGAATGCGTTGCGGCTCTAAACTCCACCTTTGGAACAAACTACAGAACAAGAGGAGCAAAAAAAAAAAGGTACAAAAAGGTTGATGGTATCGGGTAAAACCTTGCGTCATTTGAATGGTGGAGAAAACTCTGAAACCATAAGCAATTGACCCGGTACTCTTACAGAAGCTGATATCCCGTTTTTTTAAGAGCAGCATTTTATCTCACACCTAAGAAATGAGAAGGAGCTATTAAGAACTCAGACCACTGGTATAATATGTGTTCCACGACTCATGCATGAAATGAGAGTGGAAGTTGTTTTTCAGATCAACTTTCCTCCCTTATTCTTGGTTATGGAAGCAGAGGTTGGAAACGTTACCTTTTTTTGACTACAGCTGCCAGAATCCCCTAGCCAGCAGAAAGAGAATGAGTTACCCAATGACTTCCATGACTCAGAGAGGAACCTGCATCATCTAGAGGAGGGGAGAGATCTGAGGATGTGAGGAATCTCCCCGCCCTTTCTGGAGGGACTACATTTCCCATAATCCAGCATGTTCAGTTGCCAGACTAGCTGGCAGATTCTGGGACCTATCGTCCCAAAATGGAATTCCACCCACCCACCCCCCACACACATACTCTGGTTTCATGCTCAAATCCTCCTCGTCCTGGCCTTAATCACGGTTAAGTCTCCTTAATACCACTGAATCATTATCACGGCTTTGAAACCAAGAAAATAAATTGATTTCATGCCCCAAGGAAATTACATTACTGATAATTTAAAGATGCAATGACAGAAAAGGGGAATGCAACCCAATTCTATGTAGCTTCTCTTAGAAGCAAGACCCACAAGGTTCAATGGTACGTTCTCCCAGGGAGTTGCATCCATAAGAGCTGTCGCTTTCAAGAAGGAAAGAGATCATGATAGGAATGGATCTCGAATAAAACCCCATGGTGTTTACATTTCAGCTTCATGCTGTCAGCCTGCTTCAATTCCCATCCTTCTCCATTATGGTACATTTATTTCAGTTTATTTTATTTTTTTCCAGAATGAGGTTTCAAATGAAGAACAAATCACCAGACAAGCCATTACACAGAAATATATGAGGCCATCAAAGATGAATTACAGATGGGAAAAGCCATTCTTCCTGCCATTCAAACCAGCGTTTCCTCCAAAAAACGAATAACAAAGTGGCCAAGCCATCATGAAAGGAAAGCTTTTCCTTCGCAAATCGTTGTTAGATTCATTCCTCGGACCTATTTTGGAAACACTCTAAATGCAATTGCTATTGTCATCTCTGACTTAAGAGCGAGGCAACCCCACGAATGAGCAGTTGCTGGAATGTCATATCATTGAAACCCTTGGTCAACTTTTGGGGTATTTGAGGCCATGGTTTCTTTCATCGAGTCCATCCATCTATTATTTGGTCTTCCTCTTTTCTTCCTGCCTCCAACTTTTCTCAGTCTTCTTGTCTTTCTCAGTAAGTCTTGGCTTCTCACTTTTTACCTAAAGTACTCATCTGCATCACCTTCCCTTCTAGAGAGTGTTCAGGCTTGATTAGATCTGTGACCCACTTATTTGTATTTTTTGTCATCCATCGTATTAGCAAAGCTCTCCTCCAGCACTATATTCCAAACGAAATAACTTTCCCCCTTTGTCTGCTTTCTTCACTGTCCGGCTTTCACATCTGCACACTGTAATTGGGAACACCATAATCTTCACTTTGGTCTCCAGTGAAACATCCTTACACCTGTAGGTCTTTCCCTTCACAGCTGCCATTTTTACTACAACTGCTTAACACCTGTATGATACTTTCACATGCTCAAAGCCTTTGTTGCAATAATTACAACAACCACGTTAAATTAAAGTAGTTTTCTTCTCTTCTGGCTTACAGATTGGAAAACTGAGGCTGAGAAAATAGCTTGCTTAAGGCCACCCGTGAATTAGTCGATAACGCAACATTTGAATTGGGGGCTTCCTGAGTCAAAGCTTGGTCTTGTCAAAGATGTTGTTATGTGCTGTCAAATCACCTCTGGCTTACGGTGACCCTATGAATGAGCAATCTCAAGAATGACTTGTCATCAACAGCCTGTTCAGCTCTTGGAAACTCAAGCCTGTGGCTTCCTTTTGGGGAGTCGGTCCATCTCACATTTGGTCCTCCTCTTTCCTTACTGCCTTCTATCCTTCCCAGCGTTATCGTCTTTTCCAGAGAATCCAGAGCCTTTCCATAATGCGCCCAATGTAGGACAGCCTCAGAACTCAACATTTTTGCCTCCAGGGATAGTTCAGGCTTGATTTGATCTTGATTTGTTCATCTTTCTGACAGTCCAGGGTATCAGCCAAGTTCTTCTCCTCCACTACTGGTATCCCCATCTTTGAACTGCCTGATGAAGAATTGTGATTTTATACTATACTATACACTTGTCATCCCAGCAGTTAAGCATAAAGATAGACTGCTGTTCATCAACTATCTGTTTTGACCATCCAACACAACAATATGTTATTTTGTATTCTCGAAGGCTTGCATGGCTGGGATCCGATGGTTGTTGGGGTTTTTTCAGGCTTGTTTGGCCGTGTTCTTAAGGTTTTTCTTCCTAACGTTTCACCAGTCTCTGTGGCCGGCATCTTCAGAGGACAGGAGTCAGAACTCCTGTGCTCCTTTTCAGGAGATTGGGTGATTATGGGGATCAGCGTCTAAAACTCAACAAAGCCTGGCTCCCAACAGTGAAAAATACAGACTACAAAAGATCAACAAACTCTATCCAGCCACAAGGACCAGTGATCACTGCACACAAAAGACCAGCTAATGACACCCATCAATCAGAGTGACAGATTGTCCCTCCCCCTTATCACAACAATACACCCGCAACAAAAACACGCTGATCACCATAATCACCCAATCTCCTGAAAAGGACAAAAGCTGTTCCCACAGCTATAAATACTCAACTATCCAAGAAACTGCCACAGAGCACAGACAGAGTTCTGTCTCCAGTCCTCTGAAGATGCCGGCCACAGAGACTGGTGAAACGTTAGGAAGAAAAACTTTAAGAACACGGCCAAGCAGCCGGAAAACCCACAACAAACAATATGTTATTTATTAGCTTTCCTCTTCCTATCAGAACTTCAGGTCAGAAAATGAACAATGGGTTTAGGAAACAAGGGTTCTTTAGAATAATAGTAATAATGATCTTAGAAATGCAGAGCTGGAAGGGACCTTATGGATCATGGAGTCCAGCCCTGTCAAGGAGCCCAGTGGGAGGGATCAAGACCTGAACTGTGGGCTCATGGCTTAGACAAGTCAATACATATCAGCTCCAGCCCAATTACTAATATGGG